ATTTAGAGGCTTGTTGGCAAGGGCAAAGGCACCAGGAGAAACTCTTTCCTCTTTCTGAATGGTGTCATGGGATTTTGAGATGGCCTCCCTCAGCCTGAAATGATAATTCAAAGGTAAGCATTATTATTATTACAACTTTTGGGGAACAACTTCCAATGTCAACAGTTTTCCAGTACTCATTCTTCTTGAGCAAATATGTCTCAGAGAGGACCGCATAAACCTGTATTAAATTTTAAATGTGATTGCAAAAATAAACCCAAATCAATGCTTTAGGATGCACCAAGACAGCAGAACAAGGGGACATAGATTTAGAGCTGCAAGGGATAATTTCAGGACAAATACCAGGAGAGATTTCTTTACTCAGAATGTAATTAATAACTGAAACATATCACCAGAAAGGGTGGTTGATGCCAGGACCCTGGACTCATTTAAAAGGCAACCAGATGCTGTGATGGGAAGATGTTTGATTGGTATTCTGGAAGGATGAGATCAAAACAACAGTAACAAAATACAACAAAATTACACTTGTATAGTGTCTTTCAAGTCAGGAGGATGTCCCAAGGCACAGGACAGCCAGAGTTTCGGACCCGAGCTGGGGGTCGGGGTCGGGGAGGGTGGAGGGCAGGGGGGAATGCAGGGAAATCGAAAGCACGGTCGAAGAGGAGGGTCTTGAGATGGGTCTTGAAGGTGGCAGGGGAAGGGGCGAGGTGGAGGGACTGCGGGATGGAGTTCCAGAAGGTGGGGGCAGAGTGGCAGAAGGCCCGTCCATCAATAAGTGGGGCGAGCGAGGCAGGGGACATGAAGCAGGCCTGCTGAGCGCAGGTTGCGAGGAGGGTGGTAAGGGGTTTGGAGGTCGCAGAGGTAGGGGAGAGCAAGACAAAAGGGCCTTCATCCGATCTTGTGACATCTCAGGGTATCCTGACAGTGTGTGATTAACAATAATTAATTTCACACAATACTTAGAATATGGAAATATCCCAAAGCACTTCACAGCTAATTGCTGTTAACTCCAGTGACTGTGTAATTTGCAGACAAATGCAGATGTCTTTTTGCACACAAGGTCTCACAAACTGTTATGAAGTGAATAACCAATTGATCTGGAGCACTAAACACTGCTCATTTTGCCTCCTTAATTAACAACAACAACACTTGCATTTATATAGTACAAGGTAGCATCACAGAGCACTTGAAATAATGTAATTCAATGTACTTGTACTTGTATGAGTTTTCACTACTACTTCTTGTTCTTGATAGCCAAAAATAATAATACTAATCCTTCCATTTGATATAGTGCCTTATCGCATCTTTGAAATGTCGTAATAATCACAGGATATATTGAAAAATGGTGCGACTATGTGCATTTTGTGGGTGAACACGGCAGCCAATTTGCACATAGCAATGACCCCAAAACAGCCATGATCAATTTTTTTTTATCGGGACGTCCTCCCGACGTGAAAAGCGCTATATTAAATGCAAGGATTATTATTATTATTATTTTGCATATTTGAGTCTGAACAGGGAGTGTCTGTAGCCTATCCAAAGGCATCATGGTCAAAAAATGTTCGTAAAAGTTGTTTTGTGTTGAAAAAATGTTTTGAAAAAAAGTAACGGAGCTTTTAAAACAGTTCCTGGAGCAAACAGAACCCAATAGAAACCTCCCTAAACACATCAAAACAATCAGTTTAAGGAGCAACTTTTATTATCTCTTGAGTCGATGCCAAAACCGCTATGTTAATAATAGCTTCATTGATCGCCTCTACGTCCACTGTTTTCTTTATCCAACATGTTAAAACGATATGAATGTTCAATGGGGTCTGTAATATCCTGCAACAAATTAGTAGAACGAGGGTTGCAAGCCAGGAATCTCTTAATAATAATAATAATAATCCTTGCATTTGATATAGCGCTTTTCACGTCGGGAGGACGTCCCAAAGCGCTTCACAGAACACACTGTAAAGTGAATTGACTGTATATTTGTGGGCGAACGTGGCAGCCAATTGCGCACAGCAATGTCCCACAAACAGTCGTAGATTAAAAATGACCAATTTATTATTGTTTTTGGTTTTGGAGGGATTATTATTAGGCGTCTTAGAAATTGAGGTATAATAATAATAAAGATCCTTGGATTTCACGTTGTCAAAACGACTCAAAGTGCTTCATAGGACTTTTTTTATTGTAAAGTACAGTGATTGTGTATTTCAAGGCGAACGGGGCAGACAATTTTCACACAGCAAGGTCCTGCAAATACGAAATGAATGACCAATTAGCTGAAGGATTGTTAGCCAGAACAATGGTAGAAACTCCCTTACTGAATCTACCAATTGAAGTTGTGTGATAACAGAAAAACAAGATATGTAATAATAATCCTTGCATTTGATATAGTGCTTGTCACGTCTTCTAGACGTTTCAAACCACTCCACTGAATATACTGTAAAGTGAATTGACTATATATTTGTGGGCGATGTTGAAAATGTTGAAGGGAGAGAGGCCAGAGTGCACCCAGAGCGGTTGTGGATTGGCTGTGGCAAAGTGTCCATCACCCGAGGTACCCCCCACCCAGGAGGTTAGATTGGTGTTGAGGCAATTTCAATGGGTTTCGCAATGGCAGAGAACCCCCTTGTTGCCTCGGGCCCAATGCCATTGTTTGGGTTGCATGTGCCTATGGCCGCAGGTGAATTCTGACTGTACCCTGCTTTATTCCTGATATTCAAGCCAAAGACTTCCGAATGTCACACAAGCGTTTGTATATATGAACCATTTGAAATAATGCATTATTTAATCAGGTCGGTCAACACAGGAAATTCTAGAAGTGATCTTCATGATCAGCAAGAGTTACGAGAACACAAACCTATTTAAGCACAATGACCGGTGTTTTTTTCAAAGCAGCATGCATTAAACATTTAAAAACAAAATGAGTTGACTGTTACTTCTGCCAAATAAGACACGGCAAAGCCAGTGAACACTCAGTCGTTAGCTCATGCATTGGTAGATATACAGGAAATCTGGAAATTTCCTGAGTGCTCCCAGTACTTACTACCCCATGTAGCTTAGTTCAGAAGTTCCATTTAAGCCCAACAAAGTTTTTAAACTGCAGCTGTTTTGTGCTTTTTGGCATGCCGCCACCCCCATTACAAATTTTGTTATATATTTCACATAAAGCTCCCCATTCGGGAAGCCAGTGTGTGTCACTATCTCCTTTCAAGTCACATCTGCTTCTGCAAACCTGCCTCAACCACAAAATGCGGTGTCTGGATGATGTGATAAGGCGATGCATCAACAACAACTTGCATTTATACAGCACCCTTCGCACAGGGGCAGCTTCTCTGTGCGCTTAAGTGTCGTAGCCAGCCACTGAATCGGCGAGGGAGGGCGGGGGTGACAGGAAGCACGGTCAAAGAGGAAGGTCTTCAGTCGGGATCTAAAAGAGGGGAAGGAGGAGGCAAGGAGGAGGGATTGGGGGAAAGTTCCAAAGTTTTGGATCGTAGTTGCTGAAAACGAAATGCAAGGATTAGAGATTATTACTATAAACCTGAAGTCAATGATCGGACAACTGTATATAACATATATATACTGTATGAAAAAAAACTTGGGTTTGACACTGGTTTTGGACATTATAAAAAGGTGGTGTTAATTTATTTAAACAAAGTCTTTATTTGCATTCGCCTCAGTGCTGACAACTGTTACACGCCTTCAGCTTTGCTGTTTGTTTCAAGTGGACCAACCCCCCCCACCACACATACACACAGACACCCACACACAGAGACACACACAGACATACATGGGGATGAGTTCAAGACCACGTGACCTGTCATTGGTCATTGGTCCGGTGGGGGGGGCGGGTGTGGAGTGCAGGTGAGTGAGCACATCGCGCGTGCGCGGCGTGGGCCCAACACGTGTTCCGCCCAGCTCAGCCCCGCCCCCTTTTCCCCGCCGTCGCTCCTCCCACCTCCCTTCAACTCCGAGAGTGGGGGGGGGGGGGGGCGACGAGAGGCGCATGCGCACGGAGCCGGCAGGCGAGTGGGAGAGGAGAGGGGGAAGTTAAGTGGAACTCCACCTCACCTCGCGCGTCGAGGCAAAAGTCCGCGCGCACGCGCAGTGAACGCAACCGGACTTTATCCGGCCCCAGCCCTCCCCCTCCCCCCGCGGACGGCTGCGGTCAGTGCGCATGTGCCAAATTCGTCTTCGACCGCCACCACCGCCGCGGCCGCCGCGTTGGAGTTTGTGTAAAAAAAGTGACGTACTCAGAAGTGAGAAGACAGACCGACAGAGAGAGAGAGGGAGGGAGAGAGAGAGCGGGAGAGAAGGGCATCACCATCACACCAGGCAACGTGAGACCGGCTGGGAGTTCAGCGGGAAGAGCTACCATCTTCCTCCTCACTGACTGACTGACTGACTGACTCCCCCTCCCTCCCTCCCTCCCTCTGGAGGAGAGCATGTAATGGAAGGATAAAGAGCCCTTGTCCCCCCCTCCCTCTCCCCCCCCTCCCTCCCCCCTCCCTCTGGGTCGGGCCGGGCTGGAATGTCAGTTTGTGGTGCGTGGCCTTTTCTCTCCCCCATTTGAATACATATTTTTGCCCTCTCCCCTCCCCTCCCCACACACACCCACCCCTCCTCCTCCTCCTCGCCCTGCCCTCCATTTCCTTCCACTTCTCTTCTGACATTTTTTTTTTGCCGGGGCGCCCGTCTGTCTGTCTCTGTCTGTCTCTGTCTGTCTGTCTCTGTCTGTCTGTCGACAGTCAATAACGGAGGAGAAAAAGGAGAAAAAAAGTCTTTCACAGGAATCCCGGACACTTTTTTTTTCGCACTCCTCCTCCTCCTCCTCCTGCTCTTTGCTGCTGCTGCTGCTGTTCGCCAACAACTTTAAAGGCCTTTATCTATATATATATATATATATATATTTGTTCTCCTGTGCCCGTGTGCTGCTGCTACTGGTGGTTGTCGTCGGTGGTTTGATTTTTTTGTTGTTGTTGCCGTTGTAATATTGTGTCGGAAGACAGACAGACAGACGCAGACAGACAGACTGACTGACTGACTCTGACGGTCAGACCGACTCACCTTTCTGAGAAATCGACTGGTGCCCCACAGAGAGACTGAAGGAGGGCGGGGGGTGGGGTGGGGGGGGGGATGAGTTCGTCGGATTTTGTTTCAGTCGCTTTAAACCCTCGCCCTCTTTGAGAGAGCCGGAGATCAGCTCAGCCCAGACTGCTCCTGTTACACATCTCTCGCAGGTACAGTACTTTACTTTTATCGTTATGTATGTGTGTGTGTGTGTGTGTTGTCCCCCTCCCCCCCTCTCCAATCTAAAAGTCATTTACAACATTGTTTGCGGCTTTGCCAAAGACAGACAGACAGAGAGTGAGTGAGTGAGTGAGTGAGTCACTGACTGGAGTCTGGATTCCTACCCCTCGGCCCCCAGGACCTGTTCCACTCTCGGGAGGGGTTTTGGCAACTACTATAGCGTTTAATCCGCTGCACAGGGATCTGCGCCCATCCGGAGACGAGAGACGAGATGGTTGTTGATTTCATCCCAACTGCCTTATTTTTAAGTCGTTTTCATTTTCTGTTCCTTCGTCGAAAAAACGATTTTAATGTGTGTTGTGTGTGTGTGTGTTGGGGAGCGAATAAGAGAGAGGGCGGATAGGAGTGTTTGTTGAGGAACACATTCAGTTGGAAAAACACAGGCAGAACACAGCGCTGTTAAGATATTATCCTTTGAAGGAAAGTTTTCACTTCCATGAATTTCACGTGCGTTAAAGTACTTTAAAAGGTCGTTGTTTGTTCTGATCCTATTTGGGCAGCTGCTCAAGTGGAGGGGTGGGGGGGTGGGGGGGTCGAGAGAGAGAGAGAGAGAGAGAAAAGAACATCGAGTTCATCTCTCGGGCACCTCCAAGTGGCGAGTCTGCAGTATTTGGGGAAGGACATGAGAAACATGGAAGAATTATTTTTTATCTTCTAATTGACTTGATGAAAATTTCCACTCACTTCTTGCATCATGATGCCATGGTGGAGTCCTGCAGCTCAGTGGTTGGAGCACTCGCTTTGCAAGCGAGAGACCTGAGTTCAATTCCAGGCAGGTCAGGGCGAAACCTTGGGCAAGTTTCCTTACTCCACACAGAGCCTAATAAATTCCCTCCAAAAACAATAATAAATTGGTCATTTTTAATCCACGACTGTTTGTGGGACACTGCTGTGCGCAATTGGCAGCTGTGTTCGCCCATAAATATACGGTCAATTCACTTTACAATGTGTTCTGTGAAGCGCTTTGGGACGTCCTCCCGACGTGAAAAGCGCTATATCAAATGCAAGGATTATTATTATACAATTTGCATGTTTCTTAATGTACGACAAACTTACGCAACCTATGAGGGTGGATCCTGGGTGTGATCGTGTTCAGCGGTGATGAGTTCACGAACAGTTCTGCAAGCTTCGTATCTTACATTACACAATAGATTGCACGTCATTTGCAATTTTGTGAAATAGGAAATTTATTGGGACATTCATAAATAATTGTCTACGGTATTGTACATTAGGTTTACTTGTACTGTAGATAGAGCTGTGTGTTTGAGGGCAGATAGGGCCGAGGGTTTTACAGGTATTTGGTGGGCCCTTGGTGAGGAAGGTGTTTGACTTATGGGATGTTTAAAGTAGTGAAGCATTGACTACATTGAATTTCTTATGGTCTATTTGTTTGGTGTTGGGGGGGTGGGAGAGAGAGAGAGTCGAAATGTCAGAACAGGATTATAGGAAAGAGGCATTTGTTCAGCCTCAGGCACAACTAGTGGACCATTTGAATAATTGCCAGATGCCCACATTTGTTTTGTTCACACTTGATGTGAGGGGGGTGGGCGGAAAGTCATATGTCTGTGGGATGCAGGGGTCCCAACTCAGTTGGCAATAGAATTTGAATCTGAGACTGGTGAGGCTTTGTGTGATTCTTTTGCAGTCCAGGAGTTTCTCCTAGAAAAATTGGAATCATAGCATCATCTGAATGTGTACAAGCACCTGTCTACCAAGGCAGGGTGAGCGGGCACAGTTTGAGGGTATGTTTGGTGCAGCATTCTGAACGCAGCACGTGGAGATCATCTTGAAAATAGTGGTGAGGAAATCAGTGGGGTTTGTGACATAAAGGAAAGATCCTCGAACCCTCTGTTGTCAACTCATTATACATATGAAGCATGTATGGGTTTGATCTTATGGGACTTGACGTGAAAGGCGCTATACAAGTGTAATTTGTTGTTGACTGAGGTAAGACTCCTATGGTGCTCCATGTCACAGAAGGTGAATGTGAGACAGGAGGGGAAGGGTTACTGTTTTTGAGTTACTACACTAGTATTATTTCTTTCAAATGGGAGGCCCAAGTTGGAGACTGCATCTTTTCGGCATGCTGGAAAATGCCAGCTTTTAAGTATGTTTCTGGATTTATGGGGTAAATCCTCTTGTTTTATTGGTACATAAGGTGGTGTATGTTTAGTACCTTGTTTAGTTTTTGTAGTTGATGTTGCCTGGTGTTTTATGAGCTTTTCAGAAATGTTGCCAGCTGCTTGGCGTTTCTTCAAGCTACTGCTGCACATCATGGGCTCTTTGGAAGTGTCTGAAAAATAAAGTTTCTCTTAAGTGTAGCAACAGTCAAATGAAGGATTCGGTAGTTGTGGTCGTAGAAGTTTGCTCAACGTAGTAAATGGATCAAATGTTCGCTTTGACACTTCAAGATTCCCTGAGGTTTGGGGTAGCGGGGAGATGAGGAGTACTGCTTGCGTGCAAAATGATTGAGGTTGATGCTGTGTTTGTATAACCACTCATCCATGGTCATAGTGTGCTCCCTTGCAAACATCTCAGCAAAATGGGGATATTCCTCTTCAGCTTCAAGAAACAATTTTGCCTGCTGGTGTTTTGAAAGACTTGAAATCTTGATGTTTCAGTTACAGGTGGAAAAAGTTTGCTATGACACCATAAGGTAATGGGAGCTTGGGAGTAAACAGTTACATTGCCATCCATTATTTATAAAGGAGTATTTTTATTTGTAATTTTCATTTTGATTTTTTTAAAGGTAGTAATACAGTAGTTTTCCTTTACAGCATTATCTAAAACCTTGAACACTTTAAAAAATGTTCGGTGATAAGTTTGTTGCATACTGTTTTATAATCTGGGGTGACACACCACTACAGTATCGAGGGAGTACTGCTTTGTTAGAGGTGCTTTATTTCAAACAAAAACAACAGCAACAAATTACATTTGTATAGCGCCTTTCACATCAGGAGGACGTCCCAAGGCGCTAGACAGTCCGGGATCCACACCCAAACTGGTGGTTGGGATCAGGAGGGTTGGAGCCCGGGGAGGGTAGGAGGGTGGCTGAAGAGAAGATTCTTGAGACGGATCTTGAAGGAGGCAAAGGAGGGGGTGAGGCGGAGGGCCTATGGAGTTCCAAGGGGTGGGGGCAGAGAGGCTGAAGGCCCGCCTGCCAACGATGGGGCAGCAAGGAGGGGGACGTGAAGCAGGTCATATCCTGCTGAGCAGAGGGAGTGGACAGGTTGTTAGAGTGTTAGGAGGTCGCAGAGGTAGGGAGGAGCGAGGCCGTGGAGGGCTTTGAAGTTGAGGGCCAGGATCTTGGACTGTACCCTCTGAGTGATGGAAAGCCAGTGGAGCCGGGCGAGGATAGGGAGGTTAAAAGAAGGCACAGTCTGCCTGTACTAATAGTTAAAATTGAAACTGTGTCATAGGTCTTGCTGCACTCTACCTCCGTGACTTTCTAAAACCTTGTGAACCCACCCCGGCTCTCCGCTCAGCAGGTGCTGGCCTGCTTCTTATCCTCAGCCCTGCCTGCCTCACCTTCACAACTGGGCTTTCTGCCCTCGCACTCCAGAACTGCATCCTGAAGTCACCTGCTTCGCCCCTTCCCTTCCCTTGCCTCCTTCAAGATCAAGACCTTCCTTTTTAACTGCTGATTGTCTTCCCATCCCCGCCCCTCTTGAATCCAACCCCCAGCTTGGGTATACGTACCTTAGGACGTCCTCCCAATGTGAAAGGCGCAATATAAATGCAATTTGTTGTTATTGATATAGGATCTTGAATACCTAAAAGCAGGGTGATCTGGTGTTTTGGTCATTAGTCTCACTTTCCCCCATCCAACTCACCCCAAAATTGTCTTGGTTTGATCATTTATCTGATTGGTGTTTATGGGACATTGTTGCCTCAGTTTAATTGCTGTTTGCCTCAAAGTCACTAAATTTCAAAGCAACTCTTGGAAGATGTCGTTTGAGATGTACCGGCTGCAGAAATTCTTCAATCTTGATTTGGAAGCTCAGCTTGTTTTACAATCTAACGGGGAGGCTGGTTAAATGCAGTGATGCTGTGATAGAGGCCCAGATACAGGTATCTGTTCGTCTCTCACCAAACCTCACGTTTAGTTAGGCCTGAAAGGAGTCGAGGAAGAGTCTCAGACCTGCAGCTTGATTATGGAGATGTCTGTCATTAGCTCATTTGCCACTGTAGCAAATATTTATTTTATAAAGTAAAGTGATAATGCTAGAAATTGCCTCATACTTATAGAAAATGTAAAGCATGCATTACACAAATCAATTATTTTTCTACGATTACCTGTCCCATACTGAGTAAAGTTCCGTGACCACAGCTTATACAAGTATTGTGTTGTAAATGTGGCTCGGAAAAATTTCATTCCTGACCCGAATTTTAATAGGCAGTGCAAAGTCCAATAAATAACAAGTTGTTGTTACAGTTCAAGGTTACAGATTTCAGAGCATAATTTGAAATGCAATATGGTGACTTGCAGAAGACATTTGATTTTTTTTGTTCAGATTTTTTTCCACTCCCTCTTCTGAAGAATTGTGATTGCTGTTTCCTTATTAAGCTATAATTCCATGGTCATCAGTATCATCCATTAGTTTGTCAGTGTGCCCATTATCCACGCAGGTAGTGAAATCTCAACTGAGCTTGATCATGTCCATATCCTGTTGATCTGAGGGCTACACATTTGCACGTTTCAGCAGGGTGTCTCTTGATAGTTAGCAGGATTAAAATAATTTTCCTCTCCCTAGCACTGTAGTTCTACAACTGTGACCACTCAGCACAGCCCAGTATTCAAACCTGAAAGCTTCTCATCTGATTACCAGTGTTTCACTTGGCTATTCTTTACTATCTATAAGCCCACTTTGGATCACCAGCAATATATTTTTTTAAAAATCTTACTATAAATAACTAAACATTGAGTTTA